CTTTCCAGACCCGAAATGCAGGGGGCGGGGGATGGCCCGGGTGGGAGGGAGCTGGGAATGGCCCCTGGATATGCCGTGCCCAGGTCACTTGGTGTGACATTTCAAACCCCTGTGACTTGTTTTCTTGAAAACTGGCTTTAGTGATCGCAGGAAATAACCAAGAGATACTGAATCTCCAGCAGGCCCCCGGGCAAGCACAAAAAACCGGGAGGCTCAGGTTTTACCCTTCACAAATATTTAACCCTTTGGCAGCCTGGGGTAATTCTTTTCCCAGACCAGTCCTTTTTTGGTGGACTCAGAAAGCTGCCAGCCTGCCAGTGATTCCACTACTATTGAACAATCTCTGGCATTGGGTTTCCTTGTCCCTCCAAGTTAAAAGACCCTTAAGTAGCTCCTTATTTGTCCAGGCATTGTTTTGAAAGAGGGCAATGCCCTTACTGAGTAGGGGATAGTTGCAATCTTAGCTCAGGTAGCTTCTGGTAAGGAAAAATGTGTCCGAGGGGGCATCTGTGGTCGCTGGTTAGAGGAATCGATGCTTTCTGTTGAAAAGCCCTGGGCTGATTGGATGGCCAGAGGCTGCTGTAGGTGTTTCAGCTGAACTGACGGCAGAATTCCATCAGCAGGTTTCTCCCCTTCACCCCCGTTAGAGATGGGAGGCTGGAAGACTGGCTGGCAATTGAGGAGGTGGGAAGACCAGGCCACATTTATATTTTACTTCCTGAAAGTCAAGGTGATGCTAGCACAAAAATTAAAGAGAATCTTCCCCTTCTTCAGAATTTAGGAAATGGTGCTGCAGACTTAGAGATAAGGGAAGAGATACGTAGGGTTAATGAGGACCAGCTTTACTCTCAAGTGCCCAGAAAGTGTTTTAATAATCAGGGTTAGATTCTTTGAGGGTTCATTCCCTTAACTTAGATCATTCCCTCCCAAAGAGAACTATAGATATTCCCTTTACCTTCTGGCTGGCCATTGGATTAGGGGGCTAAACTTCCAAGAAATCTTACTTTTGAAAACTTTTGACTTATCCAGAATATTGGGTTTTGTCATTTTTAAAAAGGAAATAACAGGTTCTTGAATTTAAAAAATTTCATTAATGGTTGTTGTTAATTAGCTCTGAATTTTTGCTTTGAACACACTGCAGTATTTTAATGCTACAAATGGAAACATCTGCCTACCTAATTACAGTCACCTCTTCCCTTGCCATCCATAGATCAAAAATCTAATTCCTCTTTTTGATATTTATATGAGTGTGTCAGTTTTTGAATATTGGGAAATTATCCAGATCACGGTGGTTACTGTGTATTAGGATACCTGTATCTATGTGTATTGCTGTATAAAACATCACAAGCTGTTCTCCTGTAGTTTGTTGCTAGCCACCCAAAGGGGTGCATCATTTTCCTTGTGGGTTTCCAAGGAAAGGGTTTGACTCTGAAGCTTTATTACAGCGGTCCCTGGTGAGGTGTCAGATCTATGGTTGGTTAGTTACATTAATAAATATCTGTTTTACTGGTTCCCAGGTCATCTTTAAACATCTTCTGTAATACAGTAGGGATTTCCTTGTAAATTAAACTACCTGTAACAATTACAAGTGTTGTATTTTATGCTTACTGAACTTTTAAAGTGAGATACCCAGCTGTGTAGTAAAAAAAAGTCAGTTCAATCAAAGAGGCCATAGATGGGAAATGGGAGTAAGTTATTTAACTAGATTCACCTTAGAATAAGATTTTCTCAGTGGATTTATCTAATAATTTGGATAGTTCTATGTAATGGAGGCAGAAAGGGATTCCCAGAGATGGAAAAGTTTATGGCTATTACACCACAAAATTTAATACATATTGAAAGGCTGCACGATTCTGGGAAATTCAGAGTCCCTGTGGCAGTATTCCCAACGAACTTTAATTTTTAATGGGTTGTGGAACAGAAATCAGCCTTTCAGTTTTGAATATGAAATAGCTTAAAGCTTAGTTTTGTCAGAGCTGCAAATACTGGGTTTAAATGAGACGTTGTCTAAGATTGTTCTCTAAAAAATGTGAGATTCTGACGCTGCTGTCTGGGGGCGGGCATAAATTGCCACACATTTAGTTAGCTGTCTTCTCCCATACAAGTATTCACAAAAGAGAGCAAGAGAATTAGTTGACGAGCAGCACGCTGGAGAGGGGAAACAATGAATGAATAATAAACGATTTGCAGAGGAGTTCCCAATGGACTTGTGATAAAAGCAGGAAATTCAGAGAGTTTATTAAGCTGATGTAGGGAAGATTAGAGGCTTTTAAATATGGGTCTGATTGATGTAAAGGTAAACTTTCTTCAGGATACCGGGATTCAGTGCAATAATGAGGATTGTGTGACCAATTACAGACTAGCACCTTGTTGATGGAGACTGTGCATGGAAGATGCAGATAAATGGAGCTAGGCTGAGAGCAGTAATGGGAGAGACAAAGGGCACAGAGAAATACTCCATTGGGATCCAGATGTGGAGTGGTGTAGGGGGAGTGTTTCAATTTATAAAGCAAGTTTGGCGCCCAGCAGAAATCATGCCAGAAAGGCTGGAGTGCTAGGCGAGGCCATCTTTTGGATCCGGGCACCGCCTGGTCCATAAGGTCAAGGGCTCCTGAGAGAGTGGGTCAGGGGGTGAGCGGAGGGGCAGGAGTTCAGGAAGCCTGAGCGATTCCTCAGTGGGAAACAGGATATTCAAGGCGGTGGTTTCAGTGTGGAAGGCAGGAGACCCCAGTGTTCGTTCGGAGCGTGGGAGCAGGGAGAGGGACGTGGAAGAAGAGGAATGGTGAGGAGTAATCCCTTCCCAGATTATTGAGACCCAAGAATTCAGAAAGCTTGGCAAGGAGCTCTGGAAAAAATGGCCCACGTGCTTTTCTTCCTGGGGAAGGAAGGAAAGATGGTAGAGGAGGCGAGGTCCGTACCTAGATTCAAGGTTCGAGGGTCACAGCGCCTCCAATTGCCTGTAGGGAGGGAGAGGCTCCGGAACTCGGCAGAAAGGCATCCTGCTGGGCGTCCGGTGTGACGAGCCCTGTAGAGCTCCGGGAAAGCGAGCTGCCGCCTAGAGCGGGAAATTCGGTTGGGCAGCGGCGTTGGGCGTTCAAGTGTCGCTGCCCCCGGACCTCGGGCGGCTTTTACCTATTTGGCTCAAATTCTGGGCTCTAAAGCCCAGGCGAAATTGTTACTTTTGCTCCGATTGGGCCCTGTCGCATCGTCAGGTTTACAGGCTGGACCCAGCAGAGACTTTTCGCTTCGGCCCAGCGGCTCCACCTGTGTGGCCCCTGAGCCTCGGGAGACCCGGGACGTGGCCCCCGCCCCAGGAGAAAGCCAGTTGGTGGCACTTGTCTCCGCAAATTGGAACAAGATGTGCCTGCGCTCACCTGCGCGCGGTTCTCTCCCCACCCCGGGAGAGTTTAGAAGTAGTAAAACCCAGGGGAGTTAGAGCTTAAATCACTCTGGCCCTGCGGAGCGCACAATAAAGGAGGGAACTTGAGACCTGCAGAAACCGCGCGGGTTGGGAGTCACAGAGGAGCCGCCAGGCCCGATCCTCGCAGGCTCCCCCAGCCGGGTGGAGCCGGGGTTTTTCTCAAACAAACCCTCTCCCCTCCCGGACGAGGGGGCCAAATGAGACCATTCAATTAAATGCTTAATTGCGAATTCTGGTGTGGTTTCTGGAAGGTTAATCACAGCTGTCTCAATTATTTATGGCTTTTTGGCAAATTTCCGACCAGATAAGAAGTATATTCTACTGTGAAGCGTCTTGCAGGAAATCTGATAAATATTTGATAATTCCTTTCAGCTACAAGGAATCTGCGTCCACGCCCCAAGACCCGCGAGGCAAGCGGGATTTGGCAACTCCTCCCCTGGTTGGGGTCCCCCGGGCGACGGCGGGTCGCGCAAGGAGCCGGCCGCCGACACCTGGCTTCCAGGCCCTCGGGCAGCGGAGAAGCCCGGGCCGCCGTCCTGGAGGAGGGCGCGGGCGCCAGGGCCCAGCCCCTCGGCCTCCCGGGGCGCGGCGCTCAGCCCGGCCGCGGCTCGAGGTGTTTCGGAGCGCGCCGCGGCGAGGGTCCGGGGTCCTGGTTCCGGCGCCCCGGGCAGAGTCGCCGCCGAGCCCTGGGAGCGGGCTCCGCCGAGGCGGCAGGGACTTCCCGAGAGTCGGTCCCACTGGCCTTGGAGCCGCCGTCCCCGCCCCGAGCCCAGCCGGGCTTCGGCCCCGCAGCCCGAGCGCGCGGAAGACGCCGGGTCCCGGGCGGCGGAAGTACAGAGCGCACTGGGATGCGTTCGCTTTTTCTCTTTTTTCGTTTGAAATTGGATCTCTTTATTTTCTATTTGCAAAGGAGTAAAAACAGCATATACAAAACTCGGCAGCCTTGTGAGGCTCCAAAAAGTGTCCTGAACATTAGGTAGCTAAGTTTGCTTTCAACAATCCGATGAAACCTCTGTATTTTCCAGTCCCCTCCGCCCCCAGTCTTGAATCTGATACTATTAAAACCATTTTTTTCCCCCGACCAGATCTTTCTTCTTGGTAATGTTTGATCCTTATCTGACAGAAATTATTACCAATGTCACTCAGTGACCGGCTTAGCACTGACCGTTGGCTTAAGGTGGAGAACCGATGAGAACACGATATGAAAAGGTCAACATCTCCTGGCAGACACTCCTCCCGTTCAGCCGTGAGCCGTGCGCAGGAGTTGAAAACTTCAATTCAAAGCCCTTGTGACCGTCTGTTTTATTTTTACTTCGGTTTTCATTGCAGTTATTTGAGAAAATACTTTAGGGTGATTCACTATGGTTGATCTTTTTGGATCCCTAATTTTTATTCTGGAGAATTTCAGTTCAGCGATGCTACTTCTATAGGAGACTCTCAGTATGGGCCGCTAGGAAAGTTTAAGCAGACCAACGAATATAATGCTTTAAATTCATTTCAAATAGCCCCCAAAACATATTATGTAATTAGAATGTAAAACTGTTATAAACATCTTTTACTCAAACCTATAAAAGGGAAATTTAGAGCAGGTTAACTTTTAGTAAGTCTTTAATTAAGATACTTCCGGAGTTGGAATTAACGTTTTTCTTTCAAATTTGTATTGCTTTAACAAGAAAAGTCATCATTGCAAACAGAATAAGTTATTTTATTACAAGAACAAAACAGACTTGCTAATTTTTTGTCTAATTTTACCCACATTACAAATGCAAAGTATATATTATCATAGGATGTAAGTTACCAAACTCCAAAATGTGCATAAATGAAATAAACTCAGCTTGCAGAATTAGAAAGAACATTAAAGTATCTACAGTTTTTATAAATAGTGCAAAGTATATACCATATCTACAGAGTATAAACATGTGAAAATGAACTTCTTAAGGAACAGTTAGAATGTTTGATCAATTTAAAATATTAATGAGGGTACTCAAATATACAACCAACCAAAACATTTATTTTTTCTCTTTTTTTAAGAAAAACTGTCGAGCTTCTCCCCAGGCCTGCTGAGGAAATCTGTTAGCCAGCTCAAGATAGTCTTGGGAACCAAGGCATTTTCCTGAGAGAGAAAAAAAAGAAGAGTAAAATTAAAAAGAGTTAAATTTTTCAAAATGTAAGAAATGAAAATTATTTTGATATCTGAGTACAAAATGGTGACATACTCTTCAAATAAATCATGATGCAAATTTAAGTAAAGGTAACTGATCTATATCTATCTACAGTATAAAATATATAATATATATTTTAATCACAATCTATTTCATGCTTCTAACCTATTCAGACATTAACCCCTATGTAAAACATTGTTCTTGGACTCTGGAGTAAGAAAATAAGTAAATAAGTATGGTAAACAAAATAAAGTGACAGTCATGTATTCCATCCTTAACTTAGCCTTGAAAGGCTAAATCTGTATGTAAACTTTACAGTTATTTTCTAAAACAGTCTATTTAATCTAAAACATGATTTTCGTTTAAACATAACTTTAAAAATGCTCCAATCTGGCACTCAGTCACCTAACAAAGCAGAGGGAACTGTCAGGAGCTTTACTGGCTCTTGAAACAAACGATCTCCTGGCCAGCCAGTCATCTAGCAGCGAGTATTTGAAAAACAGAATTCTTCCTCAGCAATAAGAACGTGGTGCTGCCAGGAGCTGCTTTACACTTAGAACTTAGAGGTTCACCTGGGCAATGAACTCAACATCTTGAAACATTTTTGGGGGATTTAATCTAAGCAAAAGGGGAACAGATGTCCAAGGTGCAAACTGGCAACTTAGTGTGGCATCATCATTTTTAAAAATCAAGTAAGCATATTATGAACTGTCACCAGTAGAGTGATGACTTTTTCTAAGCAAAGCAGAGAACAGTTCCCTATTTGTTGGTTTGTGGATTAACCCATAGTAAATCCACATTGGGGAAAGCATGAAAGTCAGAGAAGATGGTCCCTTGGAAAAGGAAAGAAGGTTGAAACCAAGCAGACAGAGTCAGTCCCTGGGACTTCGCCTGCCAGATAGGCAGCAAATTGTGACTCATCCTTATGTCAGGAGAAAGAGGAAGAAAAAAGAATGTCTATACTTCTTACTGGCAAAAAAATTGCTGTACAATTAAAAAATAAATTTAAAAATACATTAGAAGATTTTTCTAGGCATTTTCAAAAATTCAAAATTTAAAACATTGTTTTATAAGGTATAGTAACAAATTATGCTGATTTCTCTCTAGCCTCCAACAGCTTATGCTGTCAGGGCAGAGGTGAACTTGCACACTAATGCAGGCTTAGACAAATGGTACCAACTATGATGTTGACTTGAATTTCTAAAAAGGGGCATAGCTTTCTGTTTACTTCTGAGTGCCTGAACCAATAAAACATGACATTTTTTCATTTTTTCATATTGTTACAGTTTTAGTTATATTCTCTTTTACGTACTTTTCAACACCTGCCCACTATAAATAATGTGTGTGTGTGTGAGACAGACAGACAGACAGACAGACACACCCCAGGGTGACCTCCCCTTCTCCCAAGTAAGGGCTACTGAATGGGTGCCTCATAGGGTTTTGCTGGGAGTAGACCTCTGGCCACTTTAAAGACTATCAAACTAATGGAAGAATTGGGGAAAATCTGGATTAAGGTCTCATTAATCAGAGATGCTGTCACGAGAGCCAGAAAAAGAGCAACTTGTACTTCTCAATTACAGTGTGGGTAGCAGAATATTTCAAAAAGTAAATATGCACTTTAAAATTCTACATCTCAGCTCTGATCACAGGACTCACCTCAGCAGG